AGTACTCTACCCGCACGCGATGCGCGGTCTCTAGCTAAAATTATAATAGCAAACAATTCCCTCCAAACAATCATACGAATTATTTAGAAATAATTAGTCATGAAATTTTGAAAAGTAAAGTTAATACAATAAGCTGATATATCTTGTAAAAGTATTTGTAGTTCTCAATCATAATTCCTACTTAAATGCTTTTTAGTAGTCGATATAAAACCTTGCCTTTCATTTTTAAGTAGTCACTATAATTTTGTGCTATCTTTTGTCCTAAAATTATAAAATCAATTTTAAGTTCATCGTAATAGGTAGAAAGCCACACTTTCATTGGAATCAAAATGCATCAACATTCAGAGAGAATATAATCAACTTATAGTTGACTTAGATTATTAGCAAAATCAAGATGATGTGAAATGTAATGCTTCTACTATTCATGTTTCGTCTCATCAAAATGCTCGTTGCCTGTAAAATTTATTGAATTAGTAACAAATAGGGAAAGTATAATAATTATAAATAAAAAGAAAAACTAATCTAACAAAGAACAATATCGTCTTCATGATGACAAACTAATAGTATCGTATTTATGATGACAAACCTTTTTTTTTCTTGAATGAGTTGAAGTATCTTTTTTACAATTTGCTTCCAACATATAAAAATTGGAAAAATCATAGCAAACCTTTTAGGAATAATAAATTTATGAAATATGCATCATCCTGCAAAGAAACACACCAAGCTACAATTAACTTAAGATTAAACCATTATAAAAATATACCAATTTATTTTCAATGTATTTGTCAATGTCAATTCCCTTCTATGACAAATGATTAGAGTATCCCTCTCCTTAGGTGAAAATTGTATATCAAAGGTTAAACTTTTTGTTTCCCTTGCTAACCTTGTTTTTGCTTCAATTTATATCTTTAAAGAAATAAAAATCTCACGTCACATATGACATGCTTGCCATTTCTTCGTAGAAATTACACGGGGCGCCCTATTTGGTCGCCCCCATTTAACCTATACCCATTTTTTTTTAAAACTTTTAACTTGTACCCACTTCTTAAATAAATTCAGTTCCCTTTCTCCTCCTCCTTCTCCATCACCATCACAACCTCACCCCCCCAATATAATGAACGTAAAGAGTGCAAGGTTTTCACTGGTCCATAGGCCATAGCTACTCAGTAGCATGGATGGAATTATAAAGCCACAAGAAAACTCTAATCTATTCTAGAAGAAATTTGCAGGCACTCCTCATTGCAACAGTCATCTTTTATGATTATGTGTTCCCAACCCTCTGTTAATGTCATGCCAACCAACTGTCATCTTTTAGTCTGTTTCTGTAGTTCTTAAATCCTCGATCTCAAAGGTAGCTAATATCCAAGGATTTACTGTATGTAATACATGTTGCTTAAATGACGTCCATATGATTCTCCGAAGCATGATATTTGACGATCCTAGCACCTCGAATAACTGAAGTCTCTCATTTACAACACAAAAACTTCAACTCTAGTGTTGTAACTGGAAACTTCAGCTCTAGAGCTGAATATTAATAGGTGGTAAAAAACTCCAACTCTAGTATGTAATATTAATAGGTGGTAAAAAAAACTTCAGCTCTAGTATGTAATATTAATAGGTGGTAAAAAAACTTCAACTCTAGAGCTGAAGTTTCCCATTTACAACACAAAAACTTCAGCTCTAGAGCTGAACTTCAGGCCCGGCTACTAGAATGCTGAAGTTTTGCGTGATTGTCTTTGCTACTTCAGCCCCGTATGCTGAAGTTATGCGAAAAAACGGGTATATGGCACAAAAAATGGGTATAGATGCAAATGCCCACATTTCTTCAAAGAGCCTATTTAATGGTGGGCTTTGGACCGTTGAGTTTCATATGCAAAAGTAGATATTCTTTGCCGGCATAAAATGTCCTCCGGATAATCTCTGGCTTCAATATTATATTATTTTACTATTATAAAAATCAGTAATTTTATGTTAAACGACAGTGAAAATAATGTTGTATAAATTAGTATTAGAAGTGGTACTCTTACATTAAGCTGAAAATTATATACATGCTAGTTTTCCTTATAATCAACTCCAATTTATAAGATAAGCAATAAATACTAATGAGGTTTGAACTCTAAAAATATATATGTACAAAGCATATTCTTCATCAAAAAATTATCACGGTCAATAAAAATTATTTTACCCACAGTATGCTTCTTTTAGTAACTTCATAACGCATGAACAAATGTATTAAATAAAAGAAACAAATTGGTGGTAGTATAAAGGAAAATAATAAAAATATAGCACAATAAATAAAAATTAAGCTTAAAATATATTTATTGGCTATAAAAATTTTGTTATACCCTTCATATAAAATGATCACATTTCCTAATCTGATAACCTAAAAGTGTTAAAAAACATCGATTATAATGGGTTAAATTATATTGAAGTGTTAATATTCTTTACACTAAATATATATAAGTTAAATATATGATATTTACCTGTGCTCTTCTTCTATTATAAAATAACACGTCCACTTTATATGGCATGAGATGAAATTTGGCTGCACGTTTTAGTTTCTGACCTGCATATTACTTAAAAATTAGTTTTAAAATCCAAATGCTATTTAAATGCGAAATTCTTTTATAAATATTTTAAATCTCTAAAATCACCTAAACTCTTGTATAACACTTCGGTAACTTGTCTACCAAAATCAGTTTCCTCTACGATGAACATTAGTGTTGCGTCAAAATTTATACAATTTGTCATTAAAGTATTATTCAATAATATTTGTAAATTAGCCATTAAAGCATCACAAATAAATGGATTGCATAAATGACCAATTATATGCATTACTGCCAATATTTCTCAATTCAAACTTCAAATTTAATAAGTTCCGTCAATTGCTTTATTGTAGCTTTACGGATCTGCTTTGGATGCAAATATAGTAGTCAGTAAGGATAATCTTGTGGATTATAATTAAGTAGAAAAAATTTACTGATGAAATGCAACAAAGTTTTTCTTTGAAAATGAAATATGCTCAAATATTTTAAATTTTATTAGTAGTGGAGGTTGATAACTAATACCTCTTACGTACATGGATGGAGATCCTTCTCTTTCATTTTTACTTTACTTCTTTTCACCATTTTTGTCATTTTCTTGCTATATAATTTTGGGAGGCCCATCTTCTACATATTCTCACTCAGGGCTTTCACCTGTGTCATTCTCATGAGAACCCTGCTATGAATGAATTTACATAAAGAATATTAGTGTTTTAACATAATGTTATTAATGGCAATAGGACGTGATAAAGATTCTCAACTTACTTGATTAAAAGTTGGATTCAAACTCATCCAGTTATTTAAAAAAAATCGGATCCATTGATTAAAAGTTGGATTCAAATGCAATAATCTGGCATATGTTTATACGGAAATGTACTACTACTAAATTGTTTACAATAGGCTATACAACTACTGCCTATATTTTCTCTAACCACATCTTTATCCACATCCAACACTATATCCACGTTCTATAACCACGTTCTTTTATATATTAAGTTACTCTCTTTTTTCTCGACATTTTTCAATAGTTTCTTATTACCTTTTTTTTTCAAAAAAATAGTATATCCCAAGGATATGAAGATAACTACTGCCATTATTTTCTTTAACCACGTTCTCAATCTAAATCCACATCCAACATAAACTTACCGTAACTCCTTTTGATAACTGCAAAAATAGATACGTTAAATTAAATTCAAAAACTTTAAATCAAAATAACTACATTTATTCCATTATCTTAAAAACGTAATTTATTATCTTAAACATAAATAAATGGTTTATAAATTTCAGTAACTTTTTAAAATTCAAACTAAACCAATAACTAATTATTAACTAAATAAATAATTATTAACTAATTATGCCATATGGCTTTTTTCTAGGCTGCCACTTGACTTAATGTGTTGTATTTTTCTTTGGATTTTAATTATATATATATATATAT